TTCTAGCTCTCAGAGCAGTAGCTTTCCCCCACAGTACCGTAACTGAGACCAGCCTGACACTGACTGTGATCCATTAACATCAGCTTAAATGAGATAGGGAAAGGGATGTGTGTTTGTTGTGGAGATTATGAACAGTAATAGATTCTTTCTGGGGACTGTCAATCACTCCTGAGATTTGCCTGTACTAAGCTTTGGGCTTTAAATTTGTGATCAGTGGTGGTAACACTAAACTCCACTTAAGGCAATGCTCAGAGGCCCTGTTAGAAAGGTAAGAGACATTTTTTACTCCCTGGCTTGTTTTTAGCCTTCGTGATGAGTCTGCAAGGGAATCTGCCAGGCTATACAGGGTCTGAGTCCTCTCCACAGTGTATCATCTCTTTCCATCCACTGGACATCTCTTGCTATTGATCTGTTTCTTCTTATCTCAGTCTGTCTTGCTGGCATTTGAAATGCCATGGGAATTTCCACAGGGGCTTTCAGCCCTGTATTCCTAGTTGTGTGCCAAACCTAAATCAAGGCTGCAGATAGGACTACTCATGGAGAGCTGATCTCCTGAGTTCCTCTATGTGCTGGAGCTGGGATTCTGCAGGACCACAGCAGGGAGTTACAGTGAGACCAGGCTGCGTGCAAGCCTGCAGCCAGCCCAGCTCCCAGCTGTGGATCCCGACAACCTTCCCTACCACCCCATGGGGCTATGCTGCACTTGGCAGAGCACCCCATCTCTCAGCATGCAGTATCTAATTCTCTTTGCTTCCTAGCCCTCTGGCTGCCTGCTTTCAGCCATTGCTGCATATACTGAGCTATGCTGCAGACTTTCCCCATCCCATCACCCAGCATTAATCCCCAACAGCTGCCCCATGGGGAGTTCTTGAGGAAACCTCTATCTTCCCTGCCATCCCACACAGACTGTGCCTATGGCCCTGCCTTTATAGACCCTGTAAAGGCCTCCCTCCCAGTCCTGCCTACGCTGGCTCTTCTGGATCTACACCCACTATTCAATGCAACAGTGAAGTCCCCATCCCCTGGAAACTGAGAGACGACCTTTTCTTGTTGTGGGAAGGTAACATTTAAAGGCATCCCTTGGGCTACTCTATCTGGCAGCCCAGCTGGTGCTCTTTTGTGTGAGTGCCACTCTTTTGAAATGCCAGCTCTGGTCTTAAAGGCAGCCAACAGAAGGTACAGCTCACTCTCCTTGTAATTGATTCCTCATCGCTCATCAGCGGCCTTTATTCTACCTTTTGATTAGGAAGAAGGAATAATACAGATTACAAGACAAAGATTGCCTTGTATGGGGACAGGTTACAACAGGGTTGCTGATGTCCTGGGATTTCCCTTGTGTTTGTCTGTCTCTGGTCAGATGGAGAGATTTAGCAGCAGATAGATGGCCTGTCTTTGTGTGTGCCTCACCAGCAGGTGCCCTTAGGAAATGCCAGATGGGGGAGATGGGGAAGGGGTGATACTGACAGGAATACATAACAAAACTGCTCAATTGGATTTGGACTCTGATACAGGAAACTAGGTATGATTTTGCATAAAATCAGGCAAAACAGGTGGCTGCAAGAGCTGGTGCTGGAGGACATCCCAGATTGGCCTTTTACACCTCTACTGGTGGAGGCATAGGGGTTGGTGAGCAGGTCCCACTTTGGTTCTTCTTTAGTTTGTGCCATTGGAAAGGCAGATGAGCTCAGGCACTTCTGTTCTCTTGTGTCTTCTCACTCAGGTCTCATAAAATATTTGCTGTGTTCCTGAGTTCCCCCCTAAGCGAGTGGGTGTTACTGTCCTTGATTATCATCATCGTATTATGTCAGCAGACACAAGCAGGTAAAAGCAGTTTACTAAGGTTCACGTGGCAAGTCACTTCAGAGCTGTGAATGAGTTTCTCACATCCCACACATGCGTGGACCATGCATTGGTCACCTCCTGCAAAGTGGGATTTTGATATGTAGTCTGTGCTCTAGGAGGGGCATCTTACAAGCATCAGGTGGCTGGTTAGGTCTGAACTTGTGTGACATGCTGGAAGCTACATGGGAAGTAAATATGGTTAATAAGGCATGAGATAGGTATTGGTAGATTGCACAGAGGTAAGTGTGGGCAGGTGTGAATTCACCAAGATCAAGAGCTAAGGATGTCAATATTTACATAGGCTTCACTTCCCTTTTTAGCCTGGGACTTAATCCGTGGATTTTCATGACTGTAAGTGGGATCCTGGAACAACACTTGATTTTAAGGCAGTGGGCTGAGCCCAGAGTTTTCCCTTGGAAAACACAGAGCTCTGCAGCACTCGTTCCATCACACAATTGGCTTTTGAAGCAAGAGTGGAAAACGGAGATAAAGAAGCTCTGAGCAACTGGAAAGGTGACTTCTGAGATTTCTGTAGTCCAGGACTAAAATGTTTCATGGATCTGCCTGGAGCTCAGACCTGAAGGTTCATTTCCAGGTACCACATTTACTGGCTACATGCCCTTAAAAACTTGGCTGGTAGCTTTTGACACATGGTAGAAGGGAATAAATTAGAAGATCTGCTTAATCTTTAACATCTACGACACTGTGGACACAGCTGGGATAGAAGCTTCATCCCTGTTTAGTTCCACCTCTTGGAGTCTCTGCCATGGCTTCCAGAAGCACATTCCCAGGGACAGCGTTGCTGGAAAAGGAAGGTGTTGTGGTTCTTTCCCAGCCTCAGGCAGACTCTGTGATTTATCAGGGATTGCAGGTATGGCTATGAGATCTGACTCCCCTTCACAACTCTGATTTGCAAGACAGGGACATGCTGTTCATTTGGTTTGACCTTCAGTTTTCCTTGCGTAGACAGGGGTGGTGAGACGCTGCATGTTGTGGGTAGGTAAGGGAGCTTCTTTTCCAATTGCAAACCATTTGAAGAATGTCTGCTAATATTCAGTATTGTTCTATTAGGGAATTCAGGGCCCAAAAGGTTGAAACTTTTTTCCTGATGCTCCAAGGATGTGTAGCTGCCAGCCAGGATAGGCTCAGGCTTGGTCTGGGTTTAGGCCAGGCATTCACAGCCAGTGCTCTGGGGATACTAATTTGCATTCCAGATGCTTCCCTGGTTCTATTTCTATCTCACCTTGACTTTTTTCCCAGTGCATCAAAGTTCATTTGCTGTCTGACTTGTCCCAGTGCTGCCCAGAGTGGCAGATCCTATCCGCAAGTTCCCACATGAGGGTAGAATAGGCAACAGTTAGTTTTAATGCTTATTTGCTAGCAGCTTCATAATAATTCTTCATTCACTCTCAATTCCCCATCCTCACCAGCTCTGATGTCCGTAACTAGCTTCTCTGCATTGATGTTGATCAATAGGGTTATGTAGTTCCTGCGTGGACCATGAGTTTGGTCAAGGGCCTCCGTGAGGACTACGTATCCTTCTTAGACAGACTTTCCCTTGTAGGAAGCTCCTAAAGGGCAGGGCAAACCCTAAGAAACCAACAGCTCAAAGCTGGTTTTGCTGGAGACTCCCATAGTGACTTCTCATCCTTGGCACTGTGTTCCAAGGAGGGAGATCCCACCCACTTATTTCTGTCTCCCCAGGGTTGTGCAGTGCCAGCTGGTCTCAAAAGAGAGAGAAACAAATTACTTCACTCCTTTGTCTTGGGTTGTGGTGTGCATCCCAAAATGGGTGCCACTGGGGAAGGGAATTGGGTAAATCCTCCGTGTCCCATCAGGCCTTCATCTAGTTTTCTCAGCTTGACTTGTTGCTAACACGTGTGAGTATTTCCAGGCACAACATGCCACTCTTTCATCAGTTCACTAAATTACACGCATATTTCATTCTTTTAACCTTTTATTGTAAGTCAGCCATTCAGAATCTAAACATTTCATCATCTTTATTATGCACCTCTGAACTCCCTGTGATATATCTCTTGCTTTCTGACAGCCAGGTACTTGATGGGGATACTTCCAGGTCCCTGTCCTTCACACAGTGGTGTGCCAAGAACGAAGAATTTCAGGGGATCATATAGAAGGGAGATTATACAGGAAAGTCTCTTTCACTGCCTCTTCTCCTGGCCCCTCATTTCTGCCTCTCAGTAGGGCATACCTGGCCAGAATGCAGCATCCCAGGTGCAGACAGACTATGGACATATATGTAAGGGTCATTATTGCCTCTCTGCTCTCAGATGTAATGTCTGCCTATGGAGACCAGAAACACTGATGAGTGACAGCATGACTAGAATTGTCATTGATTGATTTATTTTTTTGAATCACCAGCTGAATTGAAAAGAAAACAAAAAAAAGAGAAAAAAGTGTTTTAACCCTGAGTGAATGATTAAAAATGGCTTTTCACTGAAACAAAAATAAATAAATAAAAGGCCAGCTAAGAAGATGCTGTAGGAAGACAAATTGAGATAGTTTCACTTGTGGGTGGAGGGTAGGGGGCTGTGACACTGTTTTCAAAGTGAGAACTGAAAATGCTTCGAGATTTATTGGCTTTGGTTTTGGTTTAATGGCAAACAAAACCTTTTGGGAGTTGGCTTTGCTTGAAAGAACTTGGAACTCGGTGTTGATTCAGAGGGTTGTGTTCCTCTGGAAATGGCTGGGATGCTACAGGCAGTGTGGTACAGGCAATGCCCTCCAGCATTGATTTCCTCAGGAGATTTCAAGATGTGACCAGGCAAAGACATGATATGCTCATGTAAGAGTGGAGACAGCTTCGAGCAGGTGGTTGGATGGGATGCCTCTGGAGGTCCCTCGCAGCTAACATTTCTGCCACCCCCTTTCTTGCACCACCACAGCCATGCTACAGACTGCTTCTTCCTCATCCTGTCTGCTCTGTGTTCATCTGGGGCTTTGTCCTCCCTTGGGTACCCCAGATGGATGAAGCATTGCCAGTGGCACTTGCCCATTAACCCAGGAGAAAGCTGGCTCCCTGCAGAGGTTACTGCTGGGGCTCTGCAGGCTGTTCCTGAATATACAGCTGAGCCCCACAGCTGTGCCAGCCCAGTAGGCAGGGTTGCACACACCAGCGCCTGGTTCCTCTCTTACAGGCTCCTTGAACCTGCTGGTTCGTGTGCGGAACAAGCGAGCCATCGACACCCAGGTCTGGTCACTCAGTGGGAACAGGGGGAACATGTGGCAGCAAGCACACGTGCCCATCAACCCACCCGGGCCCTTCCAGGTAAGTCAGGTCCACAGCCAAGGAGCCACCTGCTGCCTGTCCTGTCCGTGCGCCACGGGCTGTAGGAGACTTCCCAGCAGAGATCTGCCTCGTGGCACAGGGGCTGGTTGAACACTGGGAGCTCTCCACCCCCAGAGTCACTGGGGCAAGGTAAAAGCTTGGTGGATGCACATAAATCAAATCCACTTCTTGCTGAAGCCACTCAACATTGTTATGTGCAAGCATCAGTTTGGCACTATAAATTTTATGATTATTGCTGGTCTGGAAACTGCTTGTCAAAGAGCTCCTTCTGGCACCAGGTCTGTGTGACAGCTCTGTTGGTGCTGGCCTGTTGGTGTAAAGTGACTTTGAGCATTAGAAGTTTCTTCTACTAAGTGCTGCAAGAGCACACCCCCGTTATCATCCTAGTTTAGGACCATAGGACACCTTGTGAATGTGGCAGTCTGTGTCTGCTCATCAAGTGCCTTATGTGTACTCAGGAAGTGGGCTGCTTCATTACTGGATGTTTTATTGCTGATGTTTTTGGCCAACATGCTACTTTGCTGTTGTAGGGTTGTTTGTGAGAGCTGGGCCTGTGCAAGCTGCTAAGTTGTAGCACTGTGGCAAAATGCCCAGCATGCTTCTGAGTATTTTAAAATAATAATAACAATAATATAGTAACTCTTGCAAGCGCTGCTCAGTACTGGTTGGTTAGTTAGTGCAGCACCCTTAATATAGCACAGCTCTACATGCTCATTTATTACTCCACACTCAGCACACAGGGGTTGGTCCTGTAAGCAGTGGGGTCCATCTCTTCAGATCCTATGAGTACTGGAGAAACAGGAAAGAATCATAAACTCGGGGACCTGCTAAGACCTGGTCTGTGCCCTGCTCACCTCCTCAGAGCCCCACAGCACAAGAAAGGTCCTCCACAACAGCAGCCTCACACTGGGGTCTGTCCCATGCTCTGCTTGCAGATCATCTTCGAAGGTGTCCGGGGCACAAGCTATGAGGGAGACATTGCCATCGATGATGTCACTCTGAAAAAGGGGGACTGCCCAAGGAAGCCAATTGGACCGAATAAGGGTGAGAGTGTGCATGCCTCAGAGGAACCAAGTTGGTGGGAGTGCATACATGAACACATATGCTGGGGATGCACAGCTGATTTCAGTGCACATTGACGTGTTGGTGGTACTCAAAAAGAACGTTGACTCCATCAGCAGAAGTCAGCAGAGGGGTGTCAGACCCTTAAACTTGTTCTTTACAGTTGTGAATTAGGAAGAGCTGAGAGGAGCAACCAGATCTTGTAGGGACTGTGCTGGCAGACACCAGCATGCTGAAGTCTGCACCCGTTCGTTAGGTTGGAGGTGTCATCCCCAGCCCAACACCAGCTGAAGGTTTCTGTAGTTTCTCATTTCCTGGAAACCCTAGGAATGGGAGCTTCCAAAAGGGAAAGACCTTCTGCAGGCTCTACTGGCCTTGAGTCAGTCCTTCTCCAGGAAAAAAACCTGCCTTTTGGGGCCTGGAGCCAGGGAGGGCTGGACTTCTTCCCATTGCACTCTGAGCAGGGAGACACAGCCAGGCAGGGTATTGCCCATGAAAGATGGGAGCAAGCTACCCGAGATGTATATCACTTACTTTCCAATCCTGACAGTGAGTATGCCATGGTTTAGACCCAGCCGGTAACTAGCACCATGCAGCCGCTTGCTCACACCCTCTTCTCCCCTCCCGAGAGGAGGAGAAGGAAAATCAGAAGAATGTAAAACCAGCAGGTTGAAATACAAACAGTTTAATAACTGAAGTACAATATAATACTACTACTACTAATGAAAAAGGCAATAACAAGGTGAGAGAATATGAAATTAAAGGGAAAAGGAAAAAAGAAACAATAAACAGCAATGATGCACAATATAATTGCGCACCACCCACTGACCGATACCCAGCCCAACCTGAGCAGCGATCAGTCCCTTCCGGGTGACTCCTCCCATTCACTACTGGGCATGACGTGCTGTGGCATGGGATACCCCTTTGGATAGTTTGGGTTGGGTGTTCTGGCTGTGCTCCCTCCTGGCTTCTCATGCCCTCCTCATTGGCAGAGCATGAGACTGAAAAATCCTTGATCAGGGTAAGTGCTACTTAGCAACAACTAAAACATCAGTGTGTTATCAGCATCGTTTTTAGACTAGAGCCAAATCACAGCACTGCACCAGCGACTAGGAAGATAATTAGCTGTATCCCATCCAAAATCAGTGCAGATGCTTAAGCTAAATCCCACCTACCCCTTTCCAGTCCATCCACATCATCCTGGTGCAGGCATTGCAGAACCAGAGATAATCCCACCCTCACTGAGGTGCACCATAGGTTGAAGCCACAGCAAGGTGCATAGCAGTATCTAGGCATTAGTCCTTAGGCAGAAATCACTGGTGTGCCTCATGCCTTGGTCCTACCTATGCCCTCAATAACATGCCTCAGGTGGGCAGGACACCAGGTGTTCAGAGCATGAAAACCAGAGCCAGACAGGCACTTCTGAGCAAAGTTCAATTTGCTCTATTTATTTTTGAAAGAGAAGAGCCTTGTGGAAGAATTTTTATCGACTTTCTTGACTCCAAAGTTGAAGGGAAAAACAAAGCATCAAAAAAGTCAGAAGTTTGAAATTTCAGGTTCAGGTAAAGATCTGTTTCAGCCTAGGATGGCCACGCTGTAAGCAAAACACAAGCAGAACCTTTTGTTTGACTCAAGTTGAATCTTCTGGAAAAGAAAGGAGGATTAGATTGCAAAAGTAACTAAGACTCAGCCTTTTCTCCCAAGCTGGAAGAGAAATAGTTTTGGGAAGCCTTGAGAATGTCCAGGGAAGGCTGGAAAGATCTTTCAATATATCTGGGAGGTACTCTGTGGTTCAGGGTGGGAGGAGAGGCAGACACTGCTCTGTGCTGACTTGCTTGATGAGCTTTGGATCTGTCCCATCACTAATTCTTTTTCTCTCTTCTCGACTTGCAGCGGTTGCTCTTCCAGGAAGCGGTGTCCCGGCCCTGCACAGCCCTTGTCTTTGTGGCCCATTGACTTTCTTCCTTTATGTGCTGCTCAGATGATGGCAAGAGAGCGCTCCTGTCTTCAGACCAAGACATTCCTGCTCCTTTCCTACTCAGCCACCTCTGCTCCTCTTCCTCCCCTCCTCACTGGCACACCAAAGTGTCTATATGTTACCAAAGACTTGACAGGCATGACCATGCAAAGGGATCTGGGTCAGAACTGGAGCACTCCTTGAGAAAGTCATAATGTCTAGAACAAAATATAGAAATAAAGACAAATGTTTTTTAAAAGCACGTGCGCGAGAGTGAGAGAGAAGAAACAGAAATACACAGAAAAGAAGGAAAGACAAAAAATAGGAATGAAGAAATGCGAAGAGCAAATGAAGGAGGAAAACAAACACCCCCATGTTTCCTTGGGAATGTCGGACAGGGCTTCCTCAGGGAAGTGGGAACTTGTTTTAAACAAACAAACAAAAATATATTAAAGCACAAATTTCTACCAGAACAGTTACCTTCTTTACTGCAGAGCCCACAGCTTAGTGGATGGTACACCGCAGCACTCCCCTTGTCTCCCCATGCTTTCCCACTGGCTTGGGCTGCCCCACTGCCGGCCTTGACCGTGGGGCAGCAGCCGCCCCTCGTGCTGGTGGCCAGAGCATCTTGCCTCGCACCGCATGTGCTTCCGTGTCGCCATCCATCCTCACCTACCAGGCTCTCATGTGTTTAATTGCCCCCTGTGTGGTTTGCTTTGGCCTTTCCCCACCGCTCCGTTCTTCTCACCCACCAACCTGAAGAAGATGGAGCAGGAAAGGACTCATCACACGGACCATGCTGAGTGGTGGAGAAGTTCCGGCTGGATCCGGCTGCAGCGCTGGCCTCTGAGTGTCTCTTGCTCCCTCTCGGCACTCTTGCTGGGTGGAGAAACTATGAGAGCAGATCTGAGCTGCAGACAGAAATGTGTCTCTGTTGGGCTGAGGGATGGGGCAGCGTGGGGTGGGAAGGGGAAAGAATTCCACATTGGCTTCCCCTTGTGAATGTTGGGATGACAGTCACCTCAGCCCTAAGCCCAGGACTGCTTCTCTGCCTGTCTTTTGTTACCTATTTATTTTGGTCTTTTATTCCATCACTTAACTTACCCCATCTCAAGCGTTTTGAATTATGGGAAGAGTCAGGCACTTAAACCTTCAGCAGGTCCTGTGCCCATGTTGCAGCCCCATGGCCATCAGTGCAGGCAGCTCCAATACTGCCCTCTCACCTTCTGAGGCCTTTTTGCACACACAGTGCATTAGCTGCAGGGTGGGCAGAGTGTGGCAACAGCATTGCTGCTCAGGGAAAAGGTGGCTGGATTTTGTCAGCACATGCAGCCTTACAGGCACTCAGCTTCCACTGCCAAAGCAGTGGGTAGAGGAGCTGAAAGCTGGAGGCAGGAAGCTTGACCCAAAAGAGAGGCTTCTGCTGAACTGAGAAACAGTGGAGGGATGAGGGAAAATCATTTTTTCCCTGTTGGCATCATGAAAGGTTAAAGCTGGTGTCTCTCTCTGCTGCAGACTTGCAGCAGGTCCGGCCTGACCTCCTCAGGGTCCAGATGAGCCCCACAGGAGAAGGGACTGCCCTGCACGGGCCAAGTGGGAGCTGTGATAGCCTTGTTGCAACTGGGAGCAGCTCTGGGCACGAATTGCCTCCATGCACAGGGCAGAGTTAGCCCCACAGGACTGTGAATTGGGGTTTACTAGCCACTCTGGCAGTTCAGTAAGTGGGGCTCTTCCCCCTAATGGACAGCCCATCCAAACTCCATACCTGGGGAACCACAGATACAGGATGAGCCAGCTCTTTCACTCACCAGAGCCTCCAGTACCCATGGCTCCTTACCCATTTCTGATTAATATATTAGCTTCTCTGAGCCAACTGTGTCTAAAATCACCTGAATGTATTAGCTGTCCCCTGCATTGCTCAGCTTCAAGCAACAGCTGTTGCCCCGTTTCTTCTACTGATGGGGGAGGAAAGCTCGTATTTAATTCCCAAGAGATCCAGTTTGAAGTCTTGAAACCCCTCACTCTCCAGCTCCTGGAAGGGCATTCATGTGCACTAATGCTCCCCAGACATCACTGAAGAGAGAAAGGGCGTCAGCTCTGAGGGAAAAGAGGACCTTCACAGGAGGCCTCACAAGACTGTAAGAGGGGGTGATACAGGTCTCCCTTGCTCCTATTGCTTTTCTTCACTTCTAAGGATGAGGACTGTGTCTTTTTTGTCTCCACCCTCCCCCTCCAGAACCCAGACCTCAATCACACTGCATATTTGACCAGGAGACCTGTAGCTGTGTCCCAGGGCCAGGCAGCATTGTGGGATGCTGTGGGTGTCAGCAACAATTCTGCTTCTTGCTGCCTGTCTGTTGCCATTTTCATGGGCAGCCAGTGCCACCATCATCTTTTAGCTGAGTTCTTTCAGTTCTGTTCTTTTCTACATGTTTGTTATAGGCCAGAAATCATCACCCCACTCCTGAAAAGAGTCTACTTTCATTCCTAGGAGAAATGGTGCTTTCCGTGAGACCTTGGATGCTTCATGATAGCTCCTGATCTGTCAGTGGCAAAACATTTGTGCTATGTTGCTTATTCTAGGGCAGAAGGTGGAGACAGGAACATTTTCCCATCAGTAAGAGGTAATCCAGGGCAACCATTCAATCTTCTAGGCTCTGAGGCAGAGGTCCTTGTGGCTTTGCTTCTACTGGCTGCTTAGCCAGGGTTGCATAAGCATGTTTTGTTGACGTTTAGGGGGCAGCAGAGAGACTGTGGGGCTGGGGAGGTGCAGCCTGAAGGTTCAGGATCACAGACAAAACATTATCTGCGAGGCAAGCATCAGCCAAGGGGCACCACATTTTCAGAAAGGGACACCTGCAGGGAGGGTGTCCGTGCCCTGCTGCCAGCTGCTGCAAGGAAGGATGTAAGTGCCTCACTAAGCCAACCCATGGCACAGGGGCAGTTGGGTCCAGGGCAGATGAGAACAAGCAGATGGCCCCAGCCAGAGGTGAAGCCTTTTCCTGCTGTCATGCATGGGCCCATCAGCTTCAGTAAAGTCTCAGGGAGCCCCTTCCTGCTTAGACCTCTACTCCTTTATCTCTGGCTAGAAAGCAGCTGGTGGTAAGTTTGGGGGGAAGTCATTAACCCAAGTGCCTCAGCTTCTCAGAAGTGCTGAGGACAAAAGGAAGGACCTCATTTCCCTGGCAGATGTGCTAAGAGAGTGTAGCAGAGGAAAGAGGCACTTGAGCAGCAAGGATGAGAAGTTGTGCAATGATGAGGGAGAGACAGTGTCCCTCCTCTCTGAGGACAGTCGTATTTGTGGTTTACTACCCCATGCTTGATGGGGCAATTCTCCTTGCAGTGGTAATGAATCCCAGGTGAGATATAAAGCCATGCTCCTTACCCCTTGTAATTAAAGATCCCCTCACACTTTTCACAATGTTCTGGCTAAATTATGATCCTTGAACTTAATTACATGCTGTCTTCTTAAATATCTGTTGCAGTCCCAACATTATATTTCTCTTCCTGATGTTTTATGTTGTTCTGTGCCTGTCAAATTGCTGCTTTATTCCACCCCAGAAGTGGCTGCATTTCAGTGATGGTGGAGATTATTCCTGTACATAGTATGAAAGTCACTGCAGAAGAAAAGTGCAATATAAATTTAAGAGACTGCTTTTATTTACAAGGAGACTTCTGCTTGGTAGTTGTAGAAATACATTAGGAAGAATGCTCTGTGGGTGTTAGCCAATATATACTCATTTTCTTTCTTTTTTTTTTCAGGGTATAAACCAGAAAATATGTGAGTGTGCAGGCTCCTGGGTATAAGTTGTAGATATTAGAAGTAGTGAATGCTACTGTGTAGTTACAAGTTGGGCTTACAGAGAAACTTCCATTTGAAAGCTCTTTTTGTAGTTCATTGTATTCTGAAATATATACTTTTTTAATTATAATTTTCCACAGTTCAATGCAAGTCCAAATAACAGGTCATCAGCAGGACTTTAATCCATGGCTTTTAACCATGTGAACATCAATTCCTCCCCTTTGCTCTGAAAAGCAGCTCCTGCGTGGTACCAGTAATAGACTGCTTTTCTTCCACATAGATCAGCCGCTGGAAAGCAACGGAGCTAATATGTTTCATTTGATCTGGAGTTAAGTAATTTGGAACGCCCGAGTGCAACTCTTCCCAGCCGTACGGGAGTGAAAAAGTATTTCGACTGTATGAAAAACCTCACGTAGTGCACAAACGGCTTGGAAATTCCTAAAGTTAAGTGTTGAGATTAGCATGCATGCAGAGCTGCCCCAGCAGAGCTGCCTGAAAAGCAGCTGTGGCAGCAGTGATATGGAGCCCTTCTTCTGGGAAGTAGCTTTCTTCTGGAAAGAAATAGAGTGGTAATCAGCGAAAAGAAAGGGGGGAGAGTCAGATGTTTAGGCTGGTAAATTTCTTGCAGAAATAATTTATAGATGTACGAATGAGTGTAGTAAATATGATACAAATTGTATTTTATTCCCTATTGCTATTCGAAGTATGGAAATTTAATTTCTATATGAAATCCTGTGGGTGCATTATTCAGAACGACATGGAAATGCTTTAATATCAAAGGGAGAGCAGTGTCTGCATTTCTCCTCCTCAGCCCAACCCTATCACTCTGTGTCAGGAAAAGCACACTGCTTTTGGGTTGGTGCCTTGTGCTTCTCAGCCTGGGAGGGACAGTCACTGGGAGCAGCAAGCAGCACTGGTGGGAGAAGCATCCCTCCATCATGCCATCACTTCCCACAGCCCTGTCTCCAGTGTGAAGAAGTCCTGTGCAAGGCCCTGCAGGAGCAAACACTGCTCCCCCCTAGCTCTCAGACTGAGGCAGGGAGTTCCACCTGCAGGAAAAGCCAGGGGGTGAAGAGTGAAGACTCTGCCATGAAGGACCCCACCTGCCCCAGGCAGTGGCAAAGGAATGAAGCAACTTTCCCTCCTAGATGGGTTAAATGGTGTCACCTCACTAAAAGACATAAACTTTTTCCTTAAAGCAGAGAGTTCAGGGAGTTGCGGCTTCAGGGTGCTGCTGTTTCAGTCCCCTTTGTCTGTGGGAGCCCTGCGTAGATCCATCTTTCCCTGGAAATGCTACAGCACCCCTTTGCCTTCCGGGTGCCTTTGGACCGCCTTGTAACATCATGGAGGGACACATCACTGTGGGCTCTGTGCTTTGAGCTGGGTGCAGTGGGACACAGTAGCACAGTAACACCCAGCTCTCGCACCCGGGGGGCAGGATCCTGGTTTTAGTGAGGATGAGAAATTGCATTCTATCTCCTATGCAAAAGAGAAGCCATTTCACACTCTGGGCTTTGGCAGAGACCAGCTTTGGTCCCTCTCTCTTTGTCCATTGAACTGCTCTGACACCTTGTCTTTTCCAGGATGCCCCCAGTGCAGGCGCAACCCTGCTTGTAGAGACAACAGGCATACAGCAGCAGGACCCTGTGCAGGCTGCAGGAGAAGCCAGGTGTTGCCACCACTGATAACTGCTCATCCTGCTAAGCCTGGGAAGGTATTTAATGCAGACTAAAGGCATTTGCAGAAAAGTAAGTGCTGGAGAGCTCTGGAAATTGCCTTTTAACTGGACCCAATTTACACTCCATGTTAATAACTGGCAGCTGGTGGTTTCCAGCAGGGAGCTGAGTAGCCCCAGTACACTCAGCATCCCAAATGACAGATGTGTTATATGGTTTTCAGTACTCCCCTTTGGAGTAAGACATATACTAGTTTGCCTTATTGCCATCACCTAGCCCACCACAGGGGGTTTCTGGGGTCTTCCATTGGCTACTGACAGCCTGGTATGGTCACATCAAACCAGATGCCCACTTGTGCCCTGGAGGCCTTAAATATCCTCAGGAGTATCGCAGGACGGCCCAGAGACACCTTCATCCCACCTGCTTTTCGAGAGAGAAAGGGGATGCATCTGGCAGGGAACTGTCCAGGACACCTCTTGCCCATGGAAGGGCAGTGCCACTCTGCTTAATTTTGGCTGAGGTTTGTGCCTGACACCTCAACCCTACGTTCGGCATAACGTACATGCTCAGTTGCTTTGCCATCAAGCTTCCATCCTCAAAAGGGGAGAGGGCCAGAAACCAACAGCAGGTTAGCCAGGCTGAGCCCAAACCACCTAAAACTGAGTGCAGCCCCATTTCCCTCCTGCATTGCAGCCTCGGTGGGCAGGGACCAACTGGTTTTCTTTTGGTGACTGTGACATACGCTGTGGCACTGAGATGAAACTGCCCCGGGTGTTGTTTGCACTGTGTAGGTCCAGCCCTGGGAAGGTGTTTATCTTAACAGCTTGTAAAGGGATCAGAAAACTAAGGTGGCTGTGTGTGTTACAGTTGCCAGCAATGCAGCAGGGAGGAGACAGCACTTGAAAGCACCTTTTGGAGGCATCTCCAACCAGTCCACACATTTGCCTTTTCCCACTGTCCACACTCCAAGCCGGAACACCCTCCGAGGTGGGGGATTTGGTGTATCTTGTCTCACTGAGTCTTGCTCCCCAGAACCAGCTATGGCTATAAATAAAGAGAGCATAAGGAGCCGGGAGAGGCTGTAGCAGCATGGTCAGCTCAGGCAGCACCTGAGTTGCGGTGAGAGGAGATTGATTTTATTTTCTCTTTGAAATTCCACAAGCATTGACTGGGGGCATTATTTAGGAATTTCCTATAGACAGCAGCATCCACCATGCTGGTATTTACAGAATGGGAGCAAAGGAGCTTTCCTGTGAATTTATTTGGTTGTTTCCTGGAGGCCTTCATATGTAACATCCTGGGACAAAAAGACTCCCTCAGAGTTTGCTGGAGGAGACCTTTTCCTCTCATCAAACCTTGATGTTTGTCCTTCTGTGCTGTCCATCCCCAGCTTCTTGGTGCATTGATGTAACCGGTAGCATTAGCACTGGGTAGAGTTGCTTAGTGTCAGTGCTTTCAAATTAGATGAGCTTGGCCAGTTTTCCCAGTTCATGGGATCTTCTAGATTTACTGTCTCACCCCAGAGGGCTCCAGAGCATGCATTCATCTCTCAGGACATACCCAAAAGCTGTGGCTGCTACAGATACGTGGCTGTGCTTTGTGGTTTTGGTCACAGCCCTTGCCTGACAGCATGGAGGCAATCTCTAATGTCTAGATGAGATGGAAAATCTGGTGTCAGTGTGGTTTTGCTTAGGTTTTTCCCCCTGGCAGAACCATCCTGCCTGTACTGCAGTGCACATAGTGGAGGAAGGGGACCATCACCCAAGATCTACCTGTCTCATGGGGAAACAGCTCTGGCACCTCCTGCCTTTGACCAGAAGTGAGAGTCAGTGTTTCCCAGACTCTTCCTCACTCCATCCCCCAGCTCTGTACTTAACCTCACCAAGTGTTTAACTTCCAGACTGGAGAGATCAGCAGCAGACTTCATCCCTGGATCCCATAGAAGAGGATCACACCAAAATCCCATCCTCAGCTTGTGAGGGGCAGGGAGAACCAGCTCAGGCCCAGTGGTGAGCCACTTCAGTGGGATCCAGTGCCAGTGGGACTATGTCACCCTCATGCTTCTCCAGGTCACCAAGGCCAGTAGAAAGTACACATTGACCTGACAGAAGTATTTAGAAACGCTCCCCAAAAAGAGCTACATACAGACTTTGTGTATTTGGGGATACTGTGGAGAATGGGGGGGGGGGTCCTCTGGTGTCTCTTGTTTCATTTTCCACCTGTATCCTGGGTGGAGACCCTGGCAGAAAGACCCATTCCCTACCATATCCTCATCCCCGCTCCACATCTCATAGGGTGCTATCACCATCATCAAGCAGAGCTGGGACCCTCTCGCCATGACACCACCAAGCTGTCCACAACGTTAAAAGCACAAAACGCAAACAAAGGGACTGAACTGAACCTTTTAAACAGGGTGAGATGTTTTATAAGCATTGCCTCATCCACCCCACCCCACTCCCCACCCCTGACGCACCCGTCATGTACCCTGTAGACTCTCAGCGTGGATTGTTTCATTCAAATAAAGCTGCAGTACTCCAGTGGGTGAGCCTGTGTGTCCCTCTGTGTTGGGTCGGGGTGACAAGGTGCAGCCGGCAGCCTGTGCTCACAGTGGCTGGGGCAGGGAGGAGCTCGTTTTGCTGCCTAACACTGGGGTACATGCCAGTGTTGGAGCCTTGGGTATTCCCAAAATGTCTGGCTAAGTCCCTGAGGAAGGCTTCTCGTTTCTGCTCAAACCTCACCAGAGGGGCTGCACATAGGATATGGCACATGAGGGCTTGGGGCATCTAGTGCTGGGGGGAGCCTTGTGAAGGGAGCAGAGGGTGGGTGGCATAGAGCCCTGCCCTGAATGTGCCCTTACCCAGCACTACTATCGCCTTTCCCAAACCTCTCCTTACCACCCCAGCTATTGAACTTGCTGCCTCCTGCTGCCATTAAGCAAAGCTGGTCCTCTTTTGTCCCTTGTTCTTGACCTCTTCCTCAAGATTAGGGCAGCAGCTCCAAAACTAGCAGGTATGAAACAAGCCAGCAGCTGTTTGGTGTCAGGTCCCCTTGTCCTAGTACTCCCCTCCACCCTGGGGTCTGCAGCATTGGTTGAGCTACTCCACAGACCCATCAGGGAATAGGCAATGCCCCCTTGGCCCCTGTGACGCCTAAGATGTTCTGGGGTGAAGGTGTCTTCTCTGTGCCGTGACATCTGCAGGGCTCCTTAGCTAAAGCCTAAGTAAAAATTGCCTCATCCCAGCACTGTGGTTAGAGCAACACTTAAGAGAACTGATGTGAGAGTCAAAAACAGTTTCATGTTTACGTGCCACATGCTGCCACTGTTGGCTGAAGCTCCACAAGACATTCAACAGCACCCAGGTACCTGCTCTGACTGTGGCCCAGTAGATCACAAAAGCCACAGCCATAGCCCCCACTTTGGCTGGTGTCAATAATGCTGAGTCAGTGGCAACTT